AGAGAGTCTTGCAGGCTGTCAATCTTCACAGAAGCAGACTGCCTCATCTTTCTCCCATGGAGTTTGAACCACCACTTTTTGGTTAGCAGCTGAGCGCTAACCCCTGCACCACCAGGGCTCCTTCCATAGAGATTACAACCTTAGGAATCCTGTGGGCCCGCTCTACTCTGTCCTACTGAGTCACCATAGTCAGAGTCAACTCCATTTTGGGTTTTGCTTTGGACACGGCTCCACTGGACACGGGCCCATGCTGTGAAGAGGGCAGGCCTCTGGATCTGGATGGGCCTGGGATAGGGTGACCACTGGCCCTCCTGGCTGGGCTCTTCCTTTCACCTGAGTGGACTCCCCTCAGGGAGGCCAGGGACAGCATCGGTACCCCGACCCCTGGGGCCGAAAGGGGTCCATCTACCTGGGCTGAGCATTTTAGGACGTACTGGGACCTTCACCCAATGTAGGCTGTTTGGATGCACAATCTGGCCTGAGAGCCACCAGGCAGAGGACCCAGTCCACAGCGGGTGCCAACCAGCCTCCCCCCCCGCCCCACTCCATCTCTGGCTGTGCTTTGGCCAAGGCAGACTAGTCAGGCTGTCTAGAGAAGAAACACGCCTTTGGCCTCTGTGCCCTCTGCCTGGCAGGCCCGCCGCGCGCACAGAACGCGGCTCAGCCGTCGGAAGCCTGCTCAAGCACTAGCACTTCGTTTTGGTTTCCACTGTGACTCGGGGGAAAGCTGACCGAGCGCACTGACGGTCCACACAGCAGCTCACACACGTGTTTCATGACGCTGACTGCAATCACTCCCGCGTAACAGCTCTCTTCCCACTTTCTCCCTGCGTTTCCTGTGCCCCTTCACCCGTCTCTCCCGTCCCTTCCTGCCTTCTGAACTTCCTCCGTGGCACACGCTGTCCTTTGGATCCCGTGTGGTTGGCTGTTCTAAGGACTGTGCACTTCCCTGGTGTTACTGTTCACACAATGTTGTTGTTATGTGCCATCGAGTCGGACCCCACTCATAACGACCCCTCCTTGGGTTTCCGAGGCAGTATCACTA